GAGACGTCTGGGTGATGCCCATCTTTTGTATGACCACAGCACCACACTTTCCAGCTCCTCTACGGGGGAATGGGCTGGAGCCAAGAAGGCTGGGTCCCAAGAACAGAATAGGTTTGATTCCTCTCTTTGGAGAAGGAGAATCAGGAAAATTCTGAAGCAAGAACCCTGAAGCTCCAGATCTCCAACATGTTTCTCTACCTTTTCAGGAGGTAAGTGCTTAGATTCCAGGCTTCTCCTTTTCCTGGATCTCCTGAGTAAAAATCCCATAAACCTTTTGGCAGAGGTGCAGCAGCCCACACAGCAAAATGTGCAAAGTTACTCCTACTTTCAGAAGCTCACTGGACACAATGAGTAAACATAGCAAGGATAAAGGGGAAAGCCTTTCATTCACGCCCAAGGAATTTAAAATAGAGAAAGAAAACCTGGAGCAGTGGCTCAAGACTGTAATCCCAGCACTTTGGGAGGTGCTGGGAGATCATGTGGTCAGGAGTTTAAGACCAGCCTGGCTAACATGGTAAAACCCTGTCTCTAGTAAAAACACAAAAATTAGTCAGGCAGGGTGGTGCGCGCCTGTAATTCCAGCTACTGGGGAGACTGAGGCAGGAGAATCGCTTGAACCTGGGAGGTAGAGGTTGCAGCTGAGATCATGCCACTGCACTCCAGCCTGGGAGACAGAGCAAGACTCTGCCTCAAAAAAAAAAAAAAAAAAAGTATCATATGACACTGGTTAGAATATATATATATATATATTAAAAAAAAGAGATACTTCCACAAATGGCAACCAATGATTTTGACTTTTCCTATGCTTTGTCTATTTCTCTGTCCCCTTCAGACGTTAAGGCAGAGGCTCACAGAGCTAAAGCTCAGTATATCATCAGTAGCTATAAATCCCGTGCACAAGCTAGCAGAGTTTGTGTCCATGCAACAAACACAGAGTGTTTCTGTGTTAGGTATATTCTAGACCTCAGGCAGCCAGGCAGCCAGTACTAAGACAAAACAACATTCTGACCCTCATGGATTTTAGATTTTAAAGGGAAGGAAAAAAATGAGATCTATCAGAGTGATAAGCTATATGAAGGAAATAAAAGGGTGATCTGACCGATGGCTTAGAGGGGAGGTGATGCCATATAAGATGGATGGTCAAAAAAGGCCTCTCCCCAGAAAAACATTTGAGCAAAGTCCCAGCTCTCAGCTCTTAACCCTCAGCCCTTTCAACACTCGGTTTCCCTCCTTCTAATCTTTGCTGCTTTCAAAAGGAAGCCTTTGCATCTTACCTTGCGGCGGGTATGCTCTGAATCAAATGCATCTCTCAGCCCCTGATAATCTGGGGGATTGAGTGGAGGACCCTGGCCGAAGACTGGTGTAGCGGGGAAACAGCTCCTCCAGGGCGTGGGCTGAGCTAGATGGAGACAAGTCTTGCAGGGGCCGGGTGCTAAGCAAATCAGGTAGAGAACTGTTAGGGTTGGGAAAGCTTTTGGAATCCATTTGTCCAACTGTGATATTTTACAAATAAGAAAACTGAGACCCAGAGAGGGCCAAGAGACTTGCCCAAAGTCATAAAGCTATAGTAACCATAGCTCCATCAATAACACATACGGTTTATGATACACTTCAAGTTTTCAGCAGAAACAAGCTAACTCTCCTAAGGGGAAGAATGACTGGAGGTTAAGAGAAAACTGGGTACGAGGCAGCAAATGTCCATGTTCCTGAAGGAGCAAATAGGGTAGGAGACAGGAGAAAACGGATGAAAACTGAAAGCTAAGTGATAAGCCTCTTGGGTTCTTGAGAGGCACAACAGCAATAACGGGAGAAATAAGGAGCAAAACATTTGGATTTCCAAGTAAGCAAGCGAGCTAAGGGAGAACCCCAAGGAGAACTCACTTGAGCAAGGTGGCTGTGCTATCACTGTCAAAGGAGTCCTCTTCCCGTCTCTCTGAGCCAGTGCCAGGAATGAGGGAATCCCCTGCAGGCAGCCAGAGGGACCCAAAAGCCAGGGTCAGGTATTGACCAAAACAGGGGCCACTTGAAGGCCTTCCTTTCCAGTTCCCTCACTACTTCACTCCCCTCCCAAAGAACAGGAGCCTTTTCTCCTGAAATCTCTTGATCAGAGGTTTTCCTGGGATTATAGGTTCCTCTGTCCACTTTCTCTCACCCCTTAAATCTAGGTTCTCCTTCATAGTTCTGAGGAAGGGGTTTACTCACGATAGGCTGTATCACGTGAGGTTTGGAGCATGGTCTGGAGCTGACCCCGAACACTTTCCATCTCAAAGATATGCTTAGAACCATCCTAGAAAAAAGACATGTGGAAATCAGATGCCATCTGTGTTGTCTGTCTCCTATTTGCTGCCGGGGTAGAATTTTCACTCCAGGACTTTGGAAAACAAGAAACCAAACAGATCCAATAAGAGATGTCCTAACTGTGGGTCAGAAACTCAAACACTACAGAAGCCACAAAGACAGTGTAAATAAATAAATCAGGGAGGTGTAAGACAAGAGCTGTGGTGATTCTTGCCAATTCAAGAACAAATCTAAGGACTGTGTGGCTTGTGGCAATCATTTTCAGACTCTGGAAGACCTAACCAGTCTGCAAATTGACTATGACATATTTTCTTTTTTTTTGGAGATGGAGTCTCACTCTGCTGCCCTGGCTGGAGTGCAGTGGTACATCGCGGCTCACTGCAAACTCCGCCTCCCGGATTCAGGCAGTTCTCTGCTTCAGCCTCTCAAGTAGCTGGGATTACAGGCGCATGCTACCATGCCCAGCTAATTTTTTGTATTTTTTTTTAGTAGATACAGGGTTTCACAATCTTGGCCAGGCTGGTCTTGAACTCCTGACCTCGTGATCCACCCACCTTGGCCTCCCAAAGTGCTGCGATTAAAGCGTAAGCCACCGTGCCCAGCCGACTATGACAGCTTTTCTATACAATACTAATAACTATTTTCTCTGTAACATGTTGTAACAGACTAAACTATGTCTTGATGTATATGCCAAAGTTTGAACCATACTATCAAAATAGTGTTGAGCTGGAAGGATCTAAGCTGGTATCCTAAATCCCGACTCCCCTCTTGGGATTAAGAAACCTTACCCATTCCCAGTGCACAGAGAATAGCTTACCAACCTACCCCATAGGTTTGCTCTGTCTACTTGGAGCAGAGATGTCTCTCACAAAAGACACTAGGAAGTTTCATAATTTTCAAATTATGGTGTCCCAGGATCACTCCCTCCCTCATAAGCATGACTGCCTATATAGTTAAAAGGAATATGAAGAGGCTAAGGGCAGTGGCTCATGCTTGTAATCCCAGCACTTTGGGAGGCCAAGTCAGGCAGATCACAAGGTCTGGAGTTCGAGACTAGCCTGACCAATATGGTGAAACACCATCTCTACTAAAAAGACAAAAATTAGCGGGGCATGGGGGCTCGCACCTTTAGTCCCATCTGCTCAGGAGGTTGAGGCAGGAGAATCACTCGAACTCGGGAGACAGAGATTGCAGTGAGCCTAGATCACACCACTGCACTCCAGCCTGGGCGACAGAGTGAGACTGTCTCAAAAAAAAAAAAAAAAAAAAAAAAAAAAAAAAGAAATGCAACATTCAGAGTTCAAATCTCATTAAAGATTTAAAACAAAAAACAATAACAAAACCCAGCCCCAATCCTAAGCCTCTCTGGTGTCTAGTGCTCCAGTGGTCCCCAAGACACACTTCCCTCACCTTTTTCTTTAAGTTGTTTTCCAATCCGACCGACAAGCTTCGACTCAATTCTTGGGCTAAGCCGTCTAACGCCTCACGAGGTGGGGAGGTGGAGGGTAAATACAGCTGGGCTCGGGCTGTGGCCTCCGCCTGCCGGCTGAGGCGCAAAGAAGCATAGAGCTGAGAGGTCACCTCGGAAGACACTTGGTTGAGCCCAGGGGGTTCTGATGAATCACTCAGGAGATCCTCCGCCCCGAGGGGTGAACTGGTGCTGGCAGCTGATGTTGCCATGAACACAGGGAAGAGACGACCGGAGACAGCAGAGAGCTGGGAGGTTCTGCTTTAGCAAAGTCCAGGAGGAAAAGTTCACGGAGAAAGATTTGGGAGAAGGGAGGAAGACTCCACGCCAAGGATCCTTGGTGAATTAAGGGTATCGAGGCTTTCTGGTTGGAGGAAAGGTTTCCACCAGCTCCAGGGGCCATGGGACTTCGCCAAAGCATCCCTTTCCCCAGCTCCTGGTTATAGTGTTAAGAGGGTGTAGCGCAGAGCGGGTGCGGACCACGGCGCCGCTGAAGCTCCTCCTCCCAACTACGAGTGCTGGAAGCTGCAGATCAAGTCCGGCACAGGCTATCCCCGGTCAACGGAGCTCTTAAGTTCTCACACCCAAAACGTCCCAAAGGAAACGGACCCAAATCCCCTAGGGGCCCAATTTCCGTCCCGCTGCCCTACTTGTCCCTCAACTGGCTCCAATCTCGAGAGAGGCAGGAACCGCACGCTCCCCCACCCCTTCACCCGTTCTACCCAGGGTCAGCTCCCTTGCACTTTCCTTCCGACCCCTCCTAGCAAGAAAGCCATAGCAAGCTTCGCTCCCTAGACTCTCTCCCTCCCGATCACCCCAAAAGAAATCTTGTGAACCCTGAGTCACGCCCTTAGTCGTCCCTAAAAAGCACGCTGCCCTCAAGCCTAGCCTGAGATCCTCTGCCCCGACGACCACCTGGTCCCGACTGCTCTCCACACTTTCAGTTCTCAGCCCCCAATTTGCCAAAGTGGGGAGCGAGCGATTGGCCTCCTCCCCTAAGATTCCCCCGTCTCGCGCCTCCCTCTAAGCTCAAAACCGTTGGCAGCCTCCCGCCCACCGTCTACGGCCCCGCCTCTCTCGCCTCGATGACGTCACCCGCCCGCGAGACCACGCTTGCAGACGCTCACAACACCTCGGTACCCCGAGAGCCTGGCCGCGCCTGCGCGGCTCCGGTGGCCACCGATTGGTCGAAGGAGAGAGGCGGAGTCTGACGAGAGGCACTGGGGAGGAGTTAACGCCCCGCAGGGACCGGGAGAGACCACCCCCCATGGGGCGGAGCGCCGCGGAAACCGGAAGTAACTCCTGACGGGCACTCGGAGCAGTTCCGGTGAGTCCGAGGGTGGGGTACCCACCTTGTTGGAGGGCTGTGGGGCCGGGAACCTGAGCCCACGGAGTGGGGGCAGGCCCGGAGCGAGGGTCACGCTCCCTGCCCTGCAGATGACTGTCCACAACCTGTACCTGTTTGACCGGAATGGAGTGTGTCTGCACTACAGCGAATGGCACCGCAAGAAGCAAGCAGGGATTCCCAAGGAGGAGGTGAAGAGAGGGCCCCAGTGCAGCCTGGTGACTTCTCAGCTCCAAACACCTGTAGTCCCAACCCAACCCCTCTTCTCCAAACCCCAGCTCGTTCCCACCCCGACCCCGTCTCCTGCAACAACCGAGAGCTAACTCTGCCCTTCTTCCAGGAGTACAAGCTGATGTACGGGATGCTCTTCTCTATCCGCTCCTTTGTCAGCAAGATGTCCCCGCTAGACATGTATGCCGAGTCAGAAAAGATGTTGGGAGGAGGGCTAGCCTTGGGAATTTGGGGATGGGGGAAACTTTCTGAAGTGGAAGGGGCATTGGCTTCCAGAGGGGGAAAGGGTACCTAGAGAGGCTGAGTCCGGAGCAAGATGCTGGAGCTGGCAGGAGTGGCGATGGGGAGGGTCTGAAAGTAGAGAGGTTAGGGGGTGCTAAATTGAGGGGTGAGAATGGGTGATGTCTTTACTCAACCAGGCTTCTACAAAAGATATGTTTAGATGAAGAGGGAGTCGACCTTTGAGGGGATCAGAAATATCTCTTTGGGAGAGATTTTGCTCCCATTCCTTAACACGCTCCTCATCTCTGCAGGAAGGATGGCTTCTTGGCCTTTCAAACTAGCCGTTACAAACTCCATTACTACGAGACGCCCACTGGGATCAAAGTTGTCATGAATACTGACTTGGGCGTGGGACCCATCCGAGATGTGCTGCATCACATCTACAGTGCGGTCAGTGCCAGCCCCGGGGACCCTTCCCCCAACCCCGAGCTCATCAGAATCCCAAGGATTCTCCCTTATCTTCCCTACCCTAATCCTACTATATGTTTGTTGAATTCGGAGTTTTCTCAGGGGACTTTAGGTTCTTTTTTTTTTTTTTTTTTTTTTTTGAGACGGAGTTTCACTCTTGTTACCCAGGCTGGAGTGCAATGGCGCGATCTCGGCTCACCGCAACCTCCGCCTCCTGGGCTCAGGCAATTCTCCTGCCTCAGCCTCCTGAGTAGCTGGGATTACAGGCAGGCGCCACTATGCCCAGCTAATTTTTTGTATTTTTAGTAGAGACGGGGTTTCACCATGTTGACCAGGATGGTCTCGATCTCTCGACCTCGTGATCCACCCGCCTCAGCCTCCCAAAGTGCTGGGATTACAGGCTTGAGCCACCGCGCCCGGCTGACTTTAGGTTCTTAACTCCCACCACCAGCTTCTTCTCAGAGAGGGCTTGCCTTCCGGCCCTTGTTCCTTGTGCATTCACACACCTCTGAGGTTTGGGGTTGGAAACGAGAAGTATCCAAAGCCCAGCGCTGACATCTTCCCTTTCTGTAGCTGTATGTGGAGCTGGTGGTGAAGAATCCCCTGTGCCCTCTGGGCCAAACTGTGCAAAGTGAGCTCTTTCGCTCCCGACTGGACTCCTATGTTCGCTCTCTGCCCTTCTTCTCCGCCCGGGCTGGCTGAAGCAACCTACCTCATGTCTCGGCAGAATTAATATCTTCCTGGGGCCCTTCCGAACCGGTGCCACCTAAGGGCTCCCACTGTAAGCCCCCATCCTCCCGACTGTAAGCCCCCATCCCCTTGACCCAGAACAACAGCCTAAAGGCCTGCCCCGATGCTCTCCTCCTACTAGAATGAAGCCCCCAGAGTCCCTCCACCTTCAAACCAGGCCCTCTCCAGTTTTATCCCCTGCCTGACGCTGTGAGAAGCACAGAATAAACTTTTTGTCACTCTCTGCGGCCTGAGCATGTTGGTTTGAGGGCCCTCTCAGTCTTGCCCCACGCATGAAGGTGGAAAGTAGGACAGACACACCCCCTTGAAGGCTACGAAGTGGCTTTGTGGATGGGTGTCTCAACCGTGGAAGTATTGATGCTTTGGGCTGGATAATTCTTTACTGTGGTGGCCGACCTGTGCTTTGCAAGATTTTAGCAGTATCCCTGGCCACCACTCACTAGATGGTGATAGTACGTCCCTCTGCATCCCCAGGTGTGAAATAAAAAATGTCTCCAAACCTTGCCAAAATTCCCCTGGGAGACAGTCCCTCCCGATTGAGAACCACTGGGCCAGGGGAAGCCTGACAGGCCTTGGGTCCCAGAGGGTGCAGGAGCCACCTTTCTGGATTCCGCTCAGAAAATATTCAAGCTGCGGAGGCTTCGGCAGGCGGGGCTTATGCAGATGAGCGGCAGGTTTGGCTGGGAGGCGGGCGGCTCTATGCAGATGAGGAGGCGGCGCCTGCATGCTGATGAGCTGGGCCCGCTGCCGACGCGGCTGGGAGCCCAGCGGGTCCCGCTGCGGTTCGCGCTGAAGTGTCATCTCTCTCCCTCCCCTCTTCCCCCTGGGTCCTTATCCTCCGAAACCTTTACCTCATCCTCGACCTTTACTCTCATCCATTTCCCCCTCCTACTCCTTGCACCTGTGCCCCTGTAACTGATTATCTCCACTCCTGGCGCCCCCCCACTCCCCGCATTTTTCCCCTCCCGCCGCAAACCTCGCGACCTCCAGCAGCCCGCCCCCGCGGGCCCGATCCTGCCCGGCAGCTCCCGCTGCAGCCTCCTCAACCTTCCCGCTCTGGCGGGGCTCGCCCAACTCCGCGCCGGGGTAGTCCGCGCTTAGGCTTCCCTGCTGCCCCCCTGCCGTCCCCTCAGAGCCCCCTCCCCCGCCCTGGCCCGCCGGCATGCAGGTGTCTATCGCGTGTACCGAGCAGAACCTTCGCAGCCGGAGCAGTGAGGACCGTCTGTGTGGACCCCGGCCGGGCCCTGGGGGCGGTAATGGCGGGCCGGCCGGCGGGGGGCACGGGAATCCTCCAGGGGGTGGAGGGTCTGGCCCCAAAGCCCGAGCTGCACTGGTTCCCCGACCCCCAGCGCCCGCTGGGGCCCTCCGAGAGAGCACCGGCCGAGGCACTGGCATGAAATACAGGTATGGGGGTGGCCGGGCAGCCCACCCCTTCCGCTTTCCTTTCGGGACCCCTGAGGCTTCTTGAGATGGCTGCCAAGACCCCTTCAAACTTCACTAAGTAGGTCTTCCTTCTTTCCATCTCTTCTTCCCGTCTCCGGCACTCCTTCACTTTGTCCCTCTCTTGGTCTCCATCGATATCCCTGACTAGGAGAGAATCAAGTTTACCAAGGTTGGCAGGGTCCTGTCAGACCCAGGGGATGCCCCCGAGCTTCCCTCCTTACCCCTGGGAAGGTCAGGGATGCACGGATCTCCAGGCTGCACCCCTCTCCAGTGGCATGTCCTTGGGTCTGCGTCCTGGGGAGTGGAGGGAGGGAATTGGCTTCTCTCTCTGGCCTGCTCAGGGTGCCTGACCCAGTTACTGCCCCACCTGCCCCAAGGGCTAGGTCTCCTGTGACCTTTCTTGGGCGCAAGGAGAATGAGGCCCATGGGAAGGATGGACCACATTTTTCGTCTCCATGCTGAGGGACAGGATCTGGGTAAACGGCAATGTAACCGACTTTATCTCAGAGGACTGTCAGGCCAGAGGCTCAGAACTTGAAGTGGGGGGTAGAGGAGGGGCCTGCTTAGAGTGAGCTGAGGTCACTGATCTGACCTGCTTTGTCACCTGAGGAATCTGATCCCCTCTATATGGTAGCCCTGATTGGCAGGCTGAGCTGACATCTGAGTTGGGGGCTTTGGGAAGAGGAGGGGGCTTTGGGAGGAGGAGGGGACTCACTGGTTCAGAGACAGTCTTCACAAGCTAACAGGAACAGAGGGAGTGGAGAGGGAGAACCAGGCTTTCCTGTCTTACTCTTCTCCCTCCTCCCAGGTCCCCAGTCTGCCTTTCATCCAGGCCCATCTGCCTAGCCTAGCCAGGGACCCTTGCCTGTCTGAATGCCTGAGCTTGACTTGGTTTACCTCTTCCAACCTGATGTCTGCCGTTTGGCACAGCACTCTGCCTGAGGGCCTGGTCTCACAAACTTACCACAATCAACCAACCACATTCCTCCCAGACCCTCACTGCACACATCCCAGAGATGACTCAAACACAGACAAGACCCCAGAAAGAAAAATCAGACACACATCTTCAATGTGATAAGAGGCATGGTCAGGCATGATGGATCATGCCTGTAATCCCAGCACTTTGGGGGACCGAGACAGGTGGATCACAAGGTCGGGAGATTGAGACCAACATGGCCAATATGGTGAAACCCTGTCTCTACTAAAAATACAAAAATTAGCTGGGCATGGTGGCACGTGCCTGTAGTCCAAGCTACTCGGGAGGCTGAGACAGGAGAATCACTTGAACCCAGGAGGCAAGGGCTATAGTGAGCTGAGATCGCGCCACTGCACTGCAGCCTGGGTGACAGAGCGAGACTCCGTCTCAAAAAAAAAAAAAAAAAGAATGGAGACATTGGACAGTGGCTTCAGAGGAACACTCACTTATTGGTTGACTTGTCCTTTTGACAAAATTCCTAGGGCCTCTGCTCTGGAAATAGCACTTGCCCAATCCCACAGGCCCACTAGGTCTAGTTTCTTTGGACTGAGACACCTGAGGGCTTCTCAGTCTGGAAGAAGAGGAGCTGGAGGCCGATAATCTAGATCCATAATGGAGGTTCCACCCCTTCCCGCTGCTTCTGTATCTTGCAGGAACCTAGGGAAGTCTGGTCTTCGGGTGTCCTGTCTTGGCCTGGGTGAGTTAGAACAGGAATTAAGGAAAGGGGGGCATTCTTTCATGGTCATCTGCTGCAGTTCTCACATGCCTGGCTTCTCTCTTGCAGGTACCTGGGTCACATTTGGTTCTCAGATCTCAGATGAGGTATAAGTGATGGGACTTAGAATCAGGGTGGTCGGGGTGAGAGAACCTGAAAAGGGGAACTGAACCCGGATAGGGGTTTGGACAACAAGCACAGGAATGATGGATCTGAGGCGGGGATGTGGAGATAATAGAGAATCCAGGGCTGAGATGTGATGGGTTAGAGAATAGTGAAGGAGGTAACTGAGGAGCAGTAGTTAATCTTTACCTCTTTCTCTTACCCCTTTAGACAGCGGAGGATGTGCTGACGGTAGCCTATGAGCATGGTGTAAACCTGTTTGACACCGCCGAAGTGTACGCAGCAGGAAAGTAAGGACTGGGGTGAAAGAGCTAAGCTCCATTTGGAAGGCTGAGAGGACGCCAGGGCTTCTCTTCTCGTTTTCCCTCTAAAGAACCCCGGGACTTCTGAGAATGTGAAGTTCCAACCCTTTGGGGAGGGCCCCCAAAGCATTGTAGTGGTTACAGTCCCAACATCGGTCCCTCTCTGGCTTAGAAGTCAACGGGCATGCTGTGCAGTTATTATTAAATAAAGCCAACAAATATATCTGAGGCATTAGTTATATGTAACTATTTGAGGATTACAAAGCTGAATTTTCGAACATATCATGCCATATCACACACTTGTGGCCTCACACTAGTAGAGAAAACCAGGATGACCTGACCCTGTTTCTTCCCCATCTAGCAACCACTTCTGCTCATCCTCCAGACTTGACCCAAGTGTCCGCTCCTTCAGGAATCCTTTGCCCAGGTCACTTCCCTCCCCGACCATGAGCTCCCAAAGCACTGTGGACTGTCTTCTGACACACAATTCATGGTTTATGTAACTGCATTAGCTGCTGAAGTCAGAGGCTTCCTTCCGTGGAATTTGTCTTGCTCTTCCCCAAGTACCCACACAGAGCCTAGCCCAGAGCAGGTGCTGCTTCTGGGAAGAATCAACATATCTCCAAAAGTGCACACAGTCTAAGTGGTTAAACAAACAAAAAAGGGTGATAGGAAAGATTAAACTATGTTAAAACATTTCAGTAACAGTCCACCATGACAACTCAAGACTTGCCACAAGTTAGCTCATAATTTTATGCTACCTTGTGTAGCCAGTTCTATGGAAGCTGACAAGAAGGCTGGATCATAGATTGTGGCACTCAGAGAACTCATTATGGATGAGGCAGAATTTGAGCTGAGCTTTGGAGGATGCGTAGAATTTTGCAGAGGCTCAAAGAAGGGGGAAGGCAACCCAGATAGTTGAAGCCAGACGAGGCAGTGTCCTTCCCGGCTCCGGCATAATTGACCCCTCTCCCCTCATCCTATTCTATGTTTTTGGCCCCCACAGCGGGACTTGGTACATAGTTAATGCACAACAGATATTTGTTGAATATATGACGAAGACTATACAATTACACCCCTAGTTCCAGGGGCCCCTCTTATTTTGTCCAGGATGGACCTGTGAGCTGAAATGGACTCCTTGGTTTATACTCTACTTTGCAAAAGAGGAAAAGGTGGGGAGGAGAGGGAGGAATCGATTGGCCTGGGAGGGGTCGGTGAGTCTGCCTTGTCTTTCTTTTAGGGCTGAAAGGACCCTAGGCAACATCCTGAAGAGCAAAGGTTGGAGGTGAGACTGTTTTGGGGGTTGTTGGGGACATGCGCACCCAAAAATCCTTCTCTTGCTGGTTCTCCCATTTCTCTTCTTCCAGGAGGTCAAGCTATGTCATCACCACCAAGATTTTTTGGGGAGGACAGTAAGTGGCTGCCCCACTGCAACTGGGGAGAATGTGCAAAGGTGTATGGGGTGGGGATGGGGACAGCTATCCTGCACCTGCTACACCAGGTCCACACCCTGCCTGTGACGACTCACGGGATTCCCATTCCTTATGGCTCCAAGCCAGCCTGGTCCCTATCTTTGTCACATCTCATCTTTGCCTTAACCTTTTCCTACAGGGCAGAAACCGAGCGAGGTTTGAGCCGCAAGCACATCATTGAAGGTGAGACTT